AGGACACTATGACCTGGCTAACTATGTTGACAGCAGTACAATTAAATGATAAGTCACTAATGTCTAGTAGCATATGCTCATGACTAACTACTGAACACAGAAATATACTTACATCATTCGAGGGCAGTGATTCTGTAGAAAGACACACGGTACAAACTTAAGAACGAAATTAAGTTTACCGTTTTCTCCTATATCTGTAATCAGTTCGCGATCTTTTTTGGAGAGTATTAAGTTTTGAGTTTAAATGATGTGAACCTAGTATCCCTACCAGCTATATCATGTTTCTTTGCATCACGATTAACTGGCGTTTTGCTATTGCTAATTAAATTGCTGTCGTGTAATCGACTAACGAATGACAGTTGCTCATTATAGAGCCAGACAGCCTTTTGGCTTCAGAGGATCCTCAGTTCACTGTTCTTTTAATCTGTCGCGCATAAGCCTTAAAAACTAAGATATCTTAGATTCGCGCCTTAGTCTGAATTTATTTTATGATTCTATTACTTTTAAACATCGTTGTATTCAACACAGCTCACCAGCTGTTTGTCAAACTTTTCATTTATGGTGCCAATGGTAGTAAAAATTGTTATCAATATCAAAAGAATTCTAAACTCCAGACTTTTAAACACCATGGTGCACTCATTCTCTTCATATCACCTTCGTAAGAGCATTCTAAGCAAAATATACATCGCTTGTGTACGTTTGTTTACGACTCAAACTTACGTACGCTTTATCTTTGAGTAACTCGAGTAACCGTTTGTAGATCTAGTAACTGTAGTGAATGGTACAAATCAAGAATTCTTTGAGAATACTTCAGTCAACAATTCTAGGTTTATTTTTACAGAGCATGGGTCAAACTACTGTTTAACTTAAAATACAATTCTATACCAACTAGGCCTAGCCGGAAATTTAAGATATCTTGAGATGTTATAGTCTCCTATTAGTAACTGCACCCCAGTGCAAAACTTCAATTCCCAAAGAATACAAAACATAACGTTTTAACCTTGTAAACTGATAGGACGTTAATCTTCCACCTGTTTTAAAGATAGAAAGCAACTTTTTCATTTTTACTATGTTTTCTCTGACATATTCAACACATTTATTGGGGCCAAACTGCTTCTCGACATAGAAGATACAGGGATACCCGTAAAATATACCTTGCTCTTTGATGTGAAAAAAATGGTGATAACAAGCAGTATTGTGCAGAGATTCACTATAAAGTTGAAGAGAATAATCGGTCCTTTTCAAGGTTTTAATGGGCTATTACAGTTTCTTTTTTATCACTCCTAACGCTTTCAATTTCGTATATTTACTCCACTAAAAATTTTGCCCATTAGCGACATGGATATATCACTACGTTCATACGTTCTTTATCACACAATAAGCAGTCAAAACCTATTTAAATAAGGTTCTGTTATCTAGTTTCTCGAGTGCGTTACAAGTGATACATTAACTAACTTGACCATTTCAATAATTTTGCTGAAAATTAAAACACTATTCAGATTTCTGACACTGTAAATGTGACATTCTTCTTCAAAAGTAAATCTGTCTTTTGAAATCTCTGTAAAAACTTATCTGTCTTATTACAATACTTGTTATAATTAACCGTTTACAAGGAATCTACACGACACCACATCCCATGTCCAATATATCTTCCGTAACTAGAGCACATTTATTTTATAACTCTTCATCCATTTCATATGGCCACAGTTAATGATTTATGTAACCTGACTTTATATTAATCAAATAACGCAAAATTGATTCATTACATTCTTTATAATCATAAGTGTGTTCCATGCACTGATTTGGTTGACCATATTATCTTTTTTATTGACATTCATATACGTATATGTAATCAACGAATTTATGGTGTCTCAAGTCTGCACAATTAGACCAAACGACTGCTGAAAATAGTCCGTCCATTAAAAAATTTTCATATCTTCAATTTGGCATTGGAACTTTTGTTGAAGTCAAAGATACTTATATTCCTTCACAATATGAACTTCAGTAATCAATCATTTTTACATATTATGGATTCTTCAGTTATGTTTTGGTCATATCTAATTCGCTGCTTATGTAATGCCTTAGTAGTTTTTCCACGACAGATGGTTTTTGACTAATTTGTAATTGAACGTTTATGTGAGGGCAATCGTTTATTACCTTTTGTTAAGTCAAATTTGAGTCCCAGTACTGAGAGAATTTTGGAAACTCCAACAAAAATATATCATTATAGTCTAATACATTTCAGGCTTTATGCTCACCACTCACTTATTGTCCACCTCAAAATTGCTATTTGAGGTTCAAGTGATAATTCATGGATTCCAAAGCAACGTATTATTTATTGTGATATACATAGTTTTTCTGAAACTAACGAGTGCATTATACAGAGAAATAAATCTGCACAACATGAATTTTGTGCAGTAATAATAATACAACTTTGATATTTCGAAATGGAGTACAAAAATTTAATATAGTGAAGTATCTAAAAAGGGAAATATTTTATCGAAAAATTGAAATATCCTGCTTTTTGTAAAATATATCCTGAGATAGAAACACGTTTCCCGCTTATAATTAAGTCAGGATTATTTTAAGTTATGGTTTGAAAAGATGTGAATAACGTTGATGGACATGAATTAAGTAACATAATATATAGTTCTAGAGGGATATTTCTTATCATCGACTTTGTAACGGTTCTTATCAACTGATTACTATTGGCTCCTAAGAGTACACACTAACTACTAAGTGAGCTTATTGTGTACTCACTTGAAATTAATGTACTACGCGTTCTAATGAAGTATAATGGTCAAACAATGCAACCATCACCTGAAAGTCCAACAGAACCTGTTAGGGACGATAGATCCCCAAACTCATATTTTGAATTTTATCGCATCGTTCAACTTATTGATTAAACGTTTAAATATTTGTATTGGAGTCAATTGATGAACTATCGATTAAATGCGCAAATAGGTCAATTAATGAACTCATTGATTAATGTTTAAAATTTCCTATGACAATATCGATTGTAAATAATTGTATAAATACGCTTGACTTGTATGCTTGATCTGATCTGCCTGCCTGACTTGTTATCTGCTGTTTGTCTGTAGAATACATTTTCTACACCTTACCCAGACTTCTTGATCGAGTTAGCAGAGTTGGGGACAACGGACCAGAATAGGCTATCGAGATTCTGAATCCTTGATCCGATCGATAAGTCACTGTCATATAATCGGATCTCTCTTTGAGCCATAACAATTGGCGACGGGGTAAAAAAAAAGAACAATCCAAAGTCAGCCTTCAGCATCCAGATTTGTCATCAGTGTCCTTCAGCAACATTGGTCATTAATCAAACAGTAATTTGCATTACCGGTGCTGAATAAAAAAAAATGACTCTCCCTTCCGATCGAGTACAGCTGCTATTTGAAAGACAGTTGGAGTTTTTAGTCAAATTACGCACGCAGCTGTTAAATCACTCATGCTTTGGAGATGCAGCGGAAGTGGATGGATTGATCTCTCAACTGCACACAGAGCTGGAAAATGATTGCAGCCCCAATGAATCCTCGATAAACCGTATTTCAAACGGTACAACAGTCACTCAAGATTCGCCCAGTGGTCCAGTCCTCTCCATTCCAGAAACATGCCCGGTAATGGACTCAAACTCCATTATCCCCAAAACAGCATGTGCAGACGGTGACTTATCCAGCTCACAAACACACTCCCTGGTAAATCCTCATAGAATTGTCGCAATAACCACCCATGAAACAGAAAACAAATCGAGCAGTGCACTGAATACAACTGCTTCAAATGGTTCTCATCAGTCTGCGACAGATGTTTTTGACAAATCTTATTATCAAGATTCTCTCTTACCAGAAAATATGTCAGATGCATCAAATGATGATCAAAAACTTAATACAATTTTGATAGATGCTAATTACCTTGATGATCGATTATCTACAAATAAGATTCCAAATAAATTTGGTCACAATATTTCAGAAGAATTAAACTTCGAACACCTCACATCAAGTGTTGTTCAGCCTCAAGACTTAGTCACTTTCAGTCAATTCTCTGTTCAGTGCGATAAATATGTCTTAAATAAATTCAAGTTAATTATAACGTGGGCATATGAGGATCCAACACTGTTTCGTGGAGGAGGATGGACCTGGAAAACTTAAAATCCGGATATCAACTCCGGATCTTCTAAAAAGGGGAGGAGTGTTGGGGACGATAGATCCCCAAACTCATATTTTGAATTTATCGCATCGTTCAACTTATTGATTAAACGTTTAAATATTTGTATTGGAGTCAATTGATGAACTATCGATTAAATGCGCAAATAGGTCAATTAATGAACTCATTGATTAATGTTTAAAATTTCCTATGACAATATCGATTGTAAATAATTGTATAAATACGCTTGACTTGTATGCTTGATCTGATCTGCCTGCCTGACTTGTTATCTGCTGTTTGTCTGTAGAATACACTTTCTACACCTTACCCAGACTTCTTGATCGAGTTAGCAGAGTTGGGGACAACGGACCAGAATAGTCTATCGAGTCGCTGAATCATTGATCCTTCGTTCGTTCGAGTAAGACGCATCAGTAATCGCATTCAAGCAAAAACGAAACATAACAGAACCATATCACAATACAACGTAAACGAGAGATTTTCTTAGTAGAACTTCCAAGTTAGCATGATAATACAGTTTAATAATGTCTACTGGCTATTACCGGTTTATAGGCCTTGAAAAAGAAATTGTTTTATAATTATTCATCGGATCTTTACAAACTGCCTGATTAGTATTTGGTCATTCATATTAATAATAATAATCATTCGATCCTCATAACTGAATTATTTCCTCATGTACTTTAGATAACACCATGCAATTTGTGTATTTGTTTTAACTATGAAAACATGACAGAAACTGCTGAATCAGTATCAGAACAAAAATCATTCGATCCACTTATTCCATGGGGTTTTTCCAAATGAATTAAATTTATGTAAAGCAGCACGTCATGCTGATATAAAAGCTGTAAGCAAATGTATTGCAAATGGAGTGAATATAAACTTTATTGATGGTTTTGGTAAAACAGCATTACACTATGCAGCCGCAAGTAAACATGTTTAACATTTCGTAATTCTTGATTTATTTTTCCCTTCAAAAAATATATCTCAAATTAAATAACAGATGGAAGTTATGAATCAGTGAAACTTCTTGTCGCTAATAAAGCAAATGTAAATATATGGGATTCAAATGGAACTACACCATTACATATGGCCGCTAAAGGTAGGACAGTTGTATTGGATTTACAACATACTATTAAATTTATTTTACAGGAAATCATACAAGAGTAGTGAAATTCCTACTTATGTCTGGGGCAGATATTAATCATCAATGTATTAGTGGCGTCAAACCAATCGACTTAGCAATTTACAACTCCGAAACTTGGAAAGTAAGTTATGCTGAAGAAGAGTTGTTATATCATTACTTTCTGAGTGTTCACTGTTCATTTTATTGATTTGACTATAAATTCGACTCTAGTTAATACTGGCTACTTTTAACAGAATAGCTTGTTTAGTATACTAACTTGGTCATTTCGAAGATGACGCTCCCTAATTTCTCATTCTTTACTAATGGAGTATGCTTTAGGTTGGAAAATGTCAATGATTGGATATTTTTCATAAAATTTCTCAACCAAAAACATGGATTAGATATGTCCAAGTTCCTTAACGATATTCAATCGCAAAACATTTGTTTATTTAGCTTTACTTATCACTTTTTATTTTGAAGAGCATGCCTTAAGCATATGAGTCAAGAAGGTGGGTTACTAGTCTGTTGTAGAGATGTCTGCAAACCATTTCACACTTTATCCTTATCCTTTTTACGACCATACTACTAATTATGACATGAGCTTAAATAATTATGGTTATATGTTTTAAAGATGATGAAGAACCTAAAAGCCGTAGTTGTTGCTTACTTGTGATTTCTACAACTAATATCATTTAGATAGCTTGTCGTCTTAAATAGCAATTAAAAATGATTTAACGGTTTTCTTTGATTTCTAATTACACAGCTTTAGCACTGCTAAACAACCTTCTGTAATCAAGAAATTCAGACGAAACACAAACATTTGTAAACTAGTTTACAATTCAAGGATTACTCTCTTATTATTTCGTATAACTTACTGTCACTTTTCACCTTAATTCAATCAGATACGCTCCTGACCCAGATTTATCTCATCAGTCCTGATTTGTTAAACAATCTTCTAATTTTATCAACAAAGATGGATAGTGACTAGCAGTGGAATTCAGGACGCGCGTTTCGTCCTACTTGGGACGCGTCAGCTGGATATACTCACATCTCAGAGTTGATGTCCACTCTGAGACTAGAACCCAGTACCGTTTGCTTCAAACGGCATCGCGTTATTCACTTAGCTACTGAGTCCTATTAACTACCTACTTGTGCAATGGGGTGAAGTTATACCCACTTGGTGTTGTTTACTCTTATCTCCTTATTGCTATTTAGGACTGCAATTGATCAGTCTCTTGTTGGCATATGTGTATCCTGTGCAGAGTACCTCGATATTGCCTGAAGTCGCAAGCTTTATAAGCAAAGATGGATTTCAGGCAATATCGAGGCAGTCTGCACAGGATGCACATATGCCAACAACAAACTGATCAATTACAGTCCTAAATAACAATGGGAAAATACAAGCAAGCAACATCAAGTGAATATAATCTTCCAACTATTTATTATAATATTAATAAGTGCATATTTTTGAAGTTGTTTACTAATGTTGATAGGTACAGTAAAACGTTTCGGTTTAATCTCTTCGTATTTTGTAAAGTATAGTTTTTACACCCGGAGGTTTCACATGATTCTGATCGATTTATCGTCAGGTATAAATATCACGAATGAAGTACAATATAACTCAATGATGAATATAGATCTCACTGGTTGAAATTATGCGTCAATTGAAGTTAGACCACTATGGAAAACGTGGAAACACTGGACTGTCGTTTCGTTCTATTATGGGACTCCTCAGTAGTGGGCATGCACGGTCGCGCATCTCACGGGATTCGAACTCAGGACCTACTGGTTTCGCACGCCGTCCAGTACTTCCAGGTTTTCCATGGTGGTCTAGCTTCAATTGACTCGTGATTTCAACCTGCGAAATTTCTAAAAATCTCCACAAAACCCATTCCGAACATAGATTTGTACTAAATCAGTCGCTCTAACAGGTTTCGTTGTTATACACAACAATAACGTGAATAACTGATACAACTGAACTATTGTTCAAAATCAATAGTTTTAAATTGATTCAAGTAAAAATAAACAGTCCTCCAATGAATAGGCAGTGTTGGGACATCGAATATTATCAAAATAGTTAATTTATAATTCATTAGGATCTATAATCATTGTTTCTGTCTGGTTATCACGCAATCTATGTAATTTAAATTATTACAAATTTGAGTCTAGCTTTCTCAAATATATTGATCATGATATTACAAAGACTAATCAAAGGTAGCTAGAATAGTGCGATTTGTCACACTTTAACAAGTACAAATACATTTCATTGAATCACTAAAGTTTAGTCATAGAATAAAGGAGTTCCAACTTCAAGATTTAAAAGACAAATATATTGAACTATTCATACTGTTTTTCAGACTCAAAATCTATCCTTGAGAAAAAATTAACATTGGAGATTTTGACCCCGAAAACATTCCATTATATGGCAAAATTTAAATAGTGTTTAAAGGGACATAAATAGATGATTTAGTCTGTTAATTGAGTACTCGATCTGATTTTCTGGCCGCTTCTAATAATCTCAGTCTAAATCTACATAACAGTCTAGACACAAAAGAATAGGAAGAAAACGCAAAAATGGTGCTGTACTCGTGCTTATTTTTATTATTCAATGTGACCTTGATCATCTAGAAAGTTTCAGAAGAATAATAAATATTATCAATAAGGAGTTGACTCATGATTCGTTATCCTTTTAGATATTTCAAAGAAATTTCTATTCAGTCCCGACTGAATAAAATGCTTCCAAGCGATTTCAGGACCCGTTAAGTTATACAAGGATAATTTGGGAACACTCTAACCGTAGAGTTAGGGCTTAACGACTTAACATCTAATTGCTTTTTCAATCAGTATTATACGGATGTATTAAAAAATAAAGGTATTTACTAACTGATAACTGATTCTTTTGAAAATTATTATTCTTGAATAAGTTTAGATCCCCATTTATTTCGGCATCTCATACAAGGGTTATCATGGAAAATATCTATTTTAAGCTATAAATATGATATATATGAAATCATCATCAAAGTTATCGCATTATTTTCAACAATTTTAAAAAAGATTTTCTTTATATGTTACATTTAATTCCTCTCCCATTATTATTAATAATACAACTATCTACAGGTTTTATTGGACGCTGCAAACGGCGATCTACCCAAAATTGAACATTTAATACAAACATGTACAGTTCCTTTAATTCCCCAATTTACAATACAACGAGAAATTGATAAACAAGCTAAGGCGAATGAAAAGAAAGGTGGAACGAAGAAAAGTGGAAAGAAGAGTGGAAAAAAAAGTGGTAAAGGCAAAAAGAAGAAATGATCAATTTGTCCAAGATTATGTGAAAATTTAAAGTACTTCTACTGTTTTGCTTACATTCATACATACATTATATACCTGTACAATATGGTATACATATTAATAAAATCTATTATTACAAATTTATCATTTGAGCACTAAATAAAGTAGAAAAGAAAGCAATCAAGTCATGAATGACAGTGTTAAGTCTATCGAAGCGTCCAAATAACCCCGATTGAGATACGCGCAAAATCGAAGTTCCAAAACAACGATTTGTCTACAAAAGCGGTTCTTTATTAAATAATACACAAAATTTAGTTACAAACCTCAACTTGTGAGGTGTCTGGGCGTTCAAACGCGTCGTTCAAGAATAAAAATAGCAAAGGCTTCCTGTAAGAGTAACATAAAGAATGATTACAACATACGATAGTCCAAAGACAGCCGATAGCTGTGTCTAAATTTGGTAACAGTTTATGAACAACCGAAACTCGAACCAAGAGCAAACAATATGGAAACTGTTGCATTCAAACAAATGCATAAAACTGTGGATAACCTTTACAGTAATTAAATTACAGTGATTATAATGATAAATACAATTATAAGTAAAATAAACATTAAAGATATATGTGAACATTCCAGAATGTTACAGTACAACTTGAGTTACAACATAAGTGTGAAAATTGTTGGGCATACAGCTGCCTACTGAATGTAAATAAGTAGTATAAAACAACATACAAAGAGTAGAAAAGGAACATGTAGGAACAATGTAAGACAAACTTAACACTGCCCCCCAAAGACAGCATGTCTTTCCTTACTTTCGCTGATTGAGGACTAACGTAAAAACATTCAGAGGTGACAATGGTACAATTTACTCTAGCCACAGTCACTCTGAAAAGTCTCTCTATCCTCTACTTTTCGGTCATCAGCTCCTTCTTATAAACAAATTTTACATATGCCTCTAATAATTGTACCCTTCCACGTTCTGATCTTCGCTTGGTTCCATAGACCATCTCCTCCTGGGTCAAAACTTACCACGAGGCCTTTAGGCCAGTTATTTCGTGTATAAGTGTCTCCAATAATCAAGACTGAATCGCGAACTTGTAAATCTCGTCTTCCTTGTGTCCATTTTGTTCGCATCTGTAAGAGTGGTCTATCATTAGGTATTCTCTCTGCTTCAGTCAAACAGGTGGTGAGTGTCTCGTAGGACATAGATACTGCGCTCGAAAGTCTACGTATGCTTCCTATTAATCTTTCCCATACTCGATGATGATTTGCGTAAGGAGTGTTATGGTGCCATTCTATGTTCCGATGAGTCATTTCTTCGGCTACTCTACTATCCTTAAAGTCTGGTAATGGATGTTGTATCTGCTTGTCTAACCCAACTAAAGGAGACATGGATACAGTTGTCTTAAACTTCTTATCATCATCAGCAGACTGAATAAAACAATCATCTTTCTGATTCTCTGTTTCACGCTTGATGTCAATAGAACTCTCAGCAGACGCTACTACAGGAGATACAAGTTTCGTATTTGCAGAGAACTGAGTTGTTGTTGCTTTGCAACTAATTGATGACTCGTGTAGTTGTATTACAGATTTAGCACTATCGTTCACGTCAGAAACACTAGGGAGATCTGTTTCGGCAGAGAACCTAACAGATGTTTTCGATGACATTAACTCGCCGCTATCTGTTGGAAGAATTTTGTCTGGAGGAGAAATATATCTAAGGTCAATATTCACTGCTGTATCGACATGACTATCGTTGACAGTTTTTAGAAGGTACTCATCGTCAACAGCTGGTGATGAAATAACTTGTTCTAAATCCATTAGATTCTCGTCTGTCGCTTTTGATACAGAGTCAAAGGTGTCTATAAGTCGGTTACTTCTTGAATCAGGTGGAGTGTCAAATCCAGAAGAACGAACTGACGGTAAACCTTGATGAACCCTGAAATCTTCAGTCTCAACAGCGGTTGCTGTTACTATGAGTGAGCGCACATCATCATCATCGACTAAGAGTGCCACATCAGGAGAGTGTTTAAGGCATAAACCAGGATCATCTATGAAAGGCAACGAACGATTTGAAGAATTTTCAGGCGCTACTGTGGTCAAAGAAGAGGGTGGCGTGGGTCCGTCCTCGATAGAACTCTTTGCTTCTAAACAACCTTCCCAACTCAATCGTGACTCTTCATCTATCATCTCATCCCACCCATAGTTTTTACGACATAGCTGTTGCAGAATTCGTTTAGGGGTAAGTGATAAAGGCGCTAGAAATCCAAGCGGGTCATATAACGATGATGCACATGATAGAATGCCTCTCTTAGTGATCGGGCGTTCGGGAAGATTTACGTCAAATGCAAAACAATCGGATTGCGTGTGCCAACAAAGTCCTAAAGTTCTCTGTATACGTTCTGTTGAACCTGGTATACGAACCGAATTGTTTGATCTGTCACCTATAGGGACGTCATTCAGCGCTTCATTTACGTTACTAACCCATTTATGTAAACGGAAGCCTCCAAGTGCCACTAGTCTCATTAGGTTCTTTGCTAACTCAGCAGCTTCTGATATTGTTTCTACTGAGACTAAACAATCGTCTACATAAAAATTTTCTCGTAAAGTGGACAGTGTTTTTTCATCGAACAAATCTCGGTGGTCTGTAGCTGTGCGTCTTAAAGCATATGTAGCGCAAAACGGTGAGGACGTAGCCCCGAAAGGGTGTACATGCAACTCATAGACGTCAGGAGGAGAATCAAGATTGCCATCGGGGTACCATAAAAAGCTGAAGGCCTTTGTATCCTTTTCGGGTAGATGTACCTGGAGGAACATTTCTTCAATGTCTGCTGACAATCCAATCTTATGCTTTCTGAATCTAAGCAAAACTCCCACTAGGTCGTTTGTAAGATCTGGTCCAGAATATATACAATCATTTAGAGACTTGTTTTGTAACTTAGCAGCACAATCAAAGACTATCCGAACTTTAACTGGTTTTTTAGGGTTAAATACGGGATGATGTGGAATAAAATACCTTTCTTCTTCGATAGCTTGAGTTACTCGAAACAAATATCCTTTACTTTCGTGGGTAGCTAATATAATAGTATACTGTTTCCGAAGCTGTTCGTCTTTTAGCAACGTTTTACGTAGGTAAATTAATCGTTTTTCTATTTCGCGCTTATTCCTTGGAAGTGAGTGCCAATCCACCTTCCAGGGTATCGGCACTTGATAATGTCCTTCGAGCAATACTGTTTGCTTGTCAGTAATCTCCATAATGGTCTTATCACATAGGGACATAGTAACCTTATCAGAGTATTTATTTTCAGAAAATTCATGTTCAAATAATTTAAGAATATCCTCCTCAAAGGAATTTTTCGCTTTTAAACAGTTCATGAAGACTGAAGTTTTATTAAGTTGACCCGTTGGTCCAAATAAAGCCCACCCTAATATGGTTAGTGAAGCATAGGGTTGTTTAGGTTTTCCGATACGCTGATCGAGTACCCAGTGGGCCTCTGGAACGTCAACACCAAGTAACAAACCAACCTTGTCACAGGCTATGGTGGGTAGTTGTACACCTTTCAAGTGTTTCCATCTTTCTTGGAAGTCCGTTGGTGGGATTTCTGCTCTTTTAATAGGTAGGTTATCTATAGTATATGCACCTTCGATTTTTATTCGGTTGGCCTTATCTAAAGACTCAATTTCGAAATTGGTAAGTTCAGCGTTCTGAGATGACGCTCCAATTGCAGAAGATATGTTTAATCTTGTCACTGCACCAGAAATTCCTACCTGCTTTGCTACGTCACTAAGCAGTAATGTCGAATCCGAGCCATTATCTAACAGTGCATAGGTATCCACATAACCTGTGGGACCATGTAGTCTGACTGGAACAAAGCCTAAATACGTCCTAGTAGTATGAGTAGAGTTACAATATGCTCGTTTAGCATCAGGTTCTGTGTTGTGAAGAATTCTATGATGACGTCGCTTGCAGCCATCAATTTCACACAACACGGATTGCCGACAGTCTTTTGCTCGATGATTGGGTTTTAAGCAATTAAAGCAAAGTTTAAACTTCTTTAGCAATTCTACTTTTTCGTTGTGACTCACTGACAACAGCTGAGGGCAGGATGCGACTTCGTGGGCATCGGAGCAAATTACACAATGGACTGATCCTTTAATCGACGAAGTATGGATCTTCGCTCTTATGGAAGACGACCGGTTGTTCGATGTCGTTTGAGCCTTATAGCTTCCGCCTGCCAATTGTCCGTATGTGTTTGTTGCGATTGACACTTTCTTTTCTAAGAATTGTAATAAATCATCGAAATTGGGCTCTAGCCCCTTTCTTAAAATATCGTCCGCGGCCTCCGCCCATTTAAACTGTATACTACGTGGTAGTTGTTTCACTATTCGTTTTATGTTGGTCGAACAATCCAGATCGGCATTTCTGCCCATCTGTGACAAGGCTATCTTACAGTTAGTCATGAGTCTTGTCAGTTTCTGAAGGCCCGTTATGTCGTCTTGATTCAATGGTGATCCACTTAACAGTTTTGTTAAGAAGGCTTCTACGATGTCATGTGGTCTGCCGAACCGTTCATGTAGAATTTTAATTGCCTCAGTATAACCTTCTTTTTCTGGTAATAAAACACAGTGTTCTATAGCATCCTTTGCTATACCTTCGCAATAGTGTATCAATACATTAATTTCTGAGTGTCATCATTTACTCTGTCAGCTATGTTAACCTTGAATCCCTTCATGAACGTCCAAAATTTCAGAGGACTCCCGTCAAATTTCATGATTTCTATCTTCGGTAAGCTTACTGACATACATAGCGACTTGACACTATCTACCTGTGCTTTGAATTGCATTTCATCGCTCGAAGGTACATTGGTGTATCGGTGACTTGCTGTAACTACTGAAGTTCTATCCTCGGATCGAGACCCCGACAACTCGGTAGTCTCCCTAGGTCTTCTCACTTTGTTTGAAGAGTTCGGAGTTAGCTCTAACAATCGCTTGCGTAGTTGGAGTTCTCTAATCTCCAGCTCAATCTTTTCTACTTCCCTTTCCCTAGAAACCACTTCGTCTTCTACGCTGTATCTAGTCTCTACATAGTTGTCTCCTACCGAGCAACTGTCTTTGGGGTTAGGTTTAACAATATCAAAGGCAAGATTTAAAGGAATAGGTG